TTTGACTATACACGATTTGGGCTTTAGGCGCAATCCCCGGAATGTAATTCCTGCGTACGTTGTGGGCTTACTGTATTTGCGGGATGGTTTCAATCACGTATCAGCCAATTCCCGGGCCCTAAGGAAGTCAGATTATCCTCCACCAGGGCCAGGGCCTTCTCAGTGATGGCTCCGACCTGCTGGAATGCTCTGTCCCATGAGACCAGGGCCCTGCAGGATTTAACTTCCTTCCGCAGGGCCTGTAAGACAGAGCTATTCCACCTGGCTTTCAATCTGAACTTAGCAGGATCTTTTATTCCCCTTCCTTCCCTCCCCCTCCCCTTTTTATGAAGATTACCCACTCTGGGATCCCACAGCTAATTCTCCCCTGGTCTCCTCGCTGGCCCAAATAGGACTAATTTAGCCAGCTAGCCCTGGTGATCATCTAATGTTTATTGGATGGATTTCCCCCCTAAATTGATTTTTGATTTTATTGTTATTCACATTTTATTTTATGCTGTTTTTTGTAGCATCAATTAAGTGTTTTAAATTTGTTGTTAGCCGCCCTGAGCCCAGTTTTCTGAACCGGGAAGGGCGGGGTATAAATAAAATATTATTATTATTATTATTATTATTATTATTATTATTATTCTTCCAGTTGTGCAAAGCTGACTGGGAGGTCTGGCACAACAAAAAACCCTTCTCCAAAAGACCAGACTTTTCTGCTGTAAGCGATGGGGAAAACGCACAGGAAAGTCTGGCACGACACTTGCTTTGAACCAACTACCCTCCCTGCAAGCAATCAGAACGAATGCCCAAATGTTATTATTATTATTACTAATAATAACCTCCCTGCGAAACTGAGCAGGGTGGGTGCTCCATAAACAGGTGGTCTAGAGCACTCTTAAGAGAGAATTTGACAGCTGGAGTCAGGGAGCTCCTGCATCTATTTTTAACTTCAAAATAGTACTAATAATTGAGACACACACACCCAACCTGGCTGCCCGCCTCTCTCTCCTGCCGCTCCTGGCAACCAAATCAAAATGGTTAAAAACTGAGAATACTGCAAGATATTGCAACAAGCTAGAATTTGCAGTCCACTCGCTTTCCTTGCCGTTGCAGATAGCTATTGCAGTTCACCTTCTAACAGGAGCCTTGCTCAACTCACAGCCTTCTTGCCTTTCTGCTAATGCAGCCGCTTTCCAACAGGAAAGGCCTTTCCTCGCTGTTGCACTCAGCTGCATATATTCCTTTTTCAATTCATTTTTGGCCTTGCTAGGAAGCTCTGCTCGATCTGTTCAACCCTTTGGCTTGGCTCATACGGTAAGAATGTCATATGCCCTATCCCCGAAAACCCACCCTGTTCCTGGAAGTCTGGAATTTGGTTTGGCTCATTTAAATTCTGAATTTTTTTAAAAAGACCAAATTATAATCCCAATTGTATGTGTGTGTGTGTGTGTGTGTGTGTGTGTATATATATATATATATATATATATATATATAATTTTAATTGGATTATTATTGGATATGTTAATAGGATGTCTTTTATTGGAAAATTAATAAAAATGATTAAATTCTGAATTTTAAATTGCTATAACCCACTCTGGGACCTGCTGGCCAAGGACAGGTAATAATAATAATACAGTAATAATCATAATAAATAATAAATAAGAATAATAATACTGTATTCATGTATATGTTTATAAATGCTAGTCGCTTGGATACCTTTTGGTAGCAAGTGACTAATACATTTTAATAATAAACAATAACATTTAAAAGTCTCCAAGTGATTAACATTTAAAAGCATATACCTAAAAATATTCTCTCACATCTACATCAATTCAGTGTTGTTGTTGTTGTTATTGTTGTTGCTGTTGCTTACCTTCTGCTGTGGATATCTTTCTCACAGGGCAATCCTATCTTTATGTCTTTGCAGATATAAGTCCCCTTAAAAACAAAAATGCTTCCAGGGGGCTTTGAACTTGAAAAGGCTGCAACTGACAATATTCCTCACGTAGCCCAGTCCTGTGCATCCAATATTTACTCTGAGTAAATCTCAGCTGTTTTCAGCACCGGGTCGTCTCCCTTGTCGCCTCGCTCGATTGCACGGCTTTCTGCACGTGCTCAGATGCTGTGTTTCATCACCGCCGTTGCTGGGGGTTTTTTGGGTTGTTTTGCACTTAAACGGTTACTCTACACATTTTCTTTCTGTGCTCAGGAATTTCTTGATCCCTAGCAAACATCAATCCTGCCTCTGCCTGGTGGCTTGTGCACCCAGCAGAGCCGAGATCAGGGACAGGGACACCCAGTCCTGACACCCTCCTTGCCATAGCTGTCAACGTTTCCCTTTTATCAAGGGGAATTCCCTTATTCCGAATAGGGTTCCTCGCAAGGAAAGGGAAAAGTTGACAGCTATGCTCCTCGCCCCGCTCCCTCCATCACCCATTGTGCTAGAGCGGAGCGACAGCTCGTGTGAACGGCCCCTTTAAGATCAATAGAGTTCCGGGTGCTAGAGAGGACCAAGCAGGGTTTTTGGGGGGTGGGGGGGCGGGCCCCTTCCTTTCCTTTCCTGTCTGATGGAGAGGAAGCTGCACATTCTGCATGGCTGCAAGGAGCAGCAGAGGTGAGAGCCTTTTGCGCAGGGAGAGAGGTATCAAAGGGGAGAAGCAGGGGAGGAGCAAAGCAAACGCATCAGCTAAAGGCGCTAGTCCCTTTGAGGCAGGCTGAAGATGCATCATTCTGGGCAGGGCTCCTGTGCCTTTATTTTTTTAGGGAGGGAAAGGGTACCAACTCAGCCAGCCTTTCTCAACCTGTGGGTCCCCATATGTTGTTGAACTACAACTGCCATCACCCTTAGCTAGCAAGGCCAGAGCTCAGGGATGATGGGAGTTGTAGTCCAACAACATCTGGGGACCCACAGCGGTGGGGGGGGAGGGGTCTTGCTTTCTCCTTTTAACAGACCTTTGACATGCAGGAGTCGGGAGATGAATGCTTTCATTGCAGGGAGAGAAATATTGCATGCCGCAGATCATGCTCCCCTCCTCCCGTTCACACTTTGGCACTCACTTCCTTTTATGTATAAATTTTATTTTTGCATTTTCTATTTTACATAAGCAATTGAATTAAATACATAAATACATAATACCTTCTGACTTCCTCCCCCTCCCCCAAATTGTGGATTTTAATGTAATGATTTCCCCCTCTGCATCTCTATCATAACTCTTATTTTTATAAATCCTTTGCCAATCCATAGTTCAATTTTTTACCACCAGTTTTCTGTCAATCCTGCCGATGTATGTAGTTGTTGACAATAGCTTTTCAAAAAAAGTACGTATAAACTTTATTAAAGACCTCTTTACTAAAGACCTCTTTACTAAAGACCTTATTTTTTGTTTTCTTTTTGTCACTGTTATTGTTGTTTTTTGTTTTTGAAATCCTGTATTTTTGTATGTTTTGGAATTTTTGTAAAACCAATAAATATTATTAAAAAAAAAAAAAAAAAAGACCTCCTCTTCCTGGTTTCTAATTCTTCCTGTAAGTTTTGCCATCTCTTTGGCACTCAGTTTCAGAGATGCACCAAAATATTTCATTTCCAGACTTAGAATCATAGAATCTTGAGTTGGAAGGGACTCCAAGGGTCATCTAGTCCAACCGCCTGCAATGCAGGAATCTCAGCCAAAGCATCCATGACAGATGGCCATCCAACCTCTGCTTAAAAACCTCCAAGGAAGGAGAGTCCACAATCTCCCGAGGGAGACCGTTCTACTGTCCAAACAGCTCTTGCTGTCGGAAAACTCTTCCTAATGTTTAGTCAAAATCTCCTTTCTTGGAGCTTGAAGTCACGGGTTCGAGTCCTACCGAGTCCTACCTTCCAGAGCAGAAGACAAGCATGCTCCCTCTTCCATGTGACAGCTCTTAAGATATTTGAAGATGGCTCTCATATCTTTTCTCAGTCTCCTCTTTTCCAGGCTAAACATACCCAGCTCCTTCAAGCGCTCCTCATAAGGCTTAGTTTCCAGACCCTTGATCATCTTGGTTGCCCTCCTCTGCACACATTCCAGCTTCTCAATATCGTTCTTAAACTGTGGTGCCCAGAATTGGACACAGTATTCCAAGTGTGGTCTGACTAAGGCAAAACAGAGTGGTACTATTACTGCCCTTGAACTGGACACTATACTTCTGCTGATGCAGCCTTACCTGTTTCTCCCCTTCCACATTCTTGTCTTCCTCCTCTCCTGGTCTGCCCCACAGAGGACCTTAAGGTCCATGAATAACCATAGTTTAGAGGTCCCGGGCCCTAAGGAAGTCAGCTTATCCTCCACCAGGGTCAGGGCCTTCTCAGTGATGGCTCTGACCTGCTGGAATGCTCTGTCCCATGAGACCAGGGTCCTGCAAGATTTAACTTCCTTCCGCAGGGCCTGTAAGACAGCTATTCCGCCTGGCTTTCAATTTGAACTTAGCCTGATCTTTTATTCCCCTTCCTTCCCTCCCCTTCCCCTTCCCCGCTCTGGGATCCCACAGCTAATTCTCCCCTGGTCTCCTCGCTGGCCCAAATAGGACTAATTTAGCCAGCTAGCCCTGGTGATCATCTAATGTTTATTGGATGGATTTCCCCCCTAAATCGATTTTTGATTTTATTGTTATTCACGTTTTATACCGTATTTAATGCTGTTTTTTGTAGCATCAATTAAGTGTTTTAAGTTTGTTGTTAGCCGCCCTGAGCCCTGTTTTCTGAACTGGGAAGGGCAGGGTATAAATAAAATATTATTATTATTGTTGTTGTTATTATTATTATTAGAGAAAAGTGCCCTGCTGTCAGTCATCTGGAAAACCACCAACTCCCAAAGATGCCCTCTGCTTCGTCTGAATGGGGAGCTTGCCCGGTGTTCCCCAGGATGAAGCAGTTTCGTTGACATTCTCCGCTGAGGAATTGCAGCAGAACTGGAGGCTTGGACTTTGATAGCGGACTGAGAGAGGACTGAATCTTTCCTTGGTGGGTTTTGGGTGGGACGAACACAAAAATGGCTACGGAACAGGAAGCGTCGGCAACCTTGGGCCTCCGTTTCCAGTCTGCGCCGGAGGATGTGGCTCTGCCCCCCGTGGACCCAGAGGGTCAGGATTCGGCAGCCAGGTTGGAAGAGCCTCACAAACTCCACCACACCGACCTTTGTGGGGGAAAAGAGGACCTCCTGAGCTGCAGTGGGGAGCACGCGGTCAGAAGACCCAAGTGGGGCAACCCACCACTCCTGCTTCCTGCCCCTTGGGACGTCACAAAGACTTGCCTGTCTTCCTTGGATGGGCTGGCCGATCTGAGCAGAGAACAGGCCACACAACTCCTCCCAGGCCACGGTGGGGAAGCCAAACCGGCCTCCAGCTGCTTGGACTCTGAGGTGGGCTACTCAGACCCACGGGGGGATCCCTCGGAAAAGGGTGCCGTCCCCATGGAGGGGCAGCGGCTGAACTTCCGCCAGTTCCGCTACCAGGAGGTCGAGGGACCACGGGAAGTGTGCAGCCAGCTCTGGTACCTGTGCCACCGTTGGCTGAAGCCGGAGAGGCACACCAAGGAGCAGATCCTGGAGCTGGTGATCCTGGAGCAGTTCCTGGCCATCTTGCCCTCGGAGATCCAGACCTGGGTGAAGAGAGGAGGACCCGAGAGCTGCGCCCAGGCGGTGGCCCTGGCCGAGGGCTTCCTGCAAGGACAACGGGAAGCTGGGAGTTGCGGGGAGCAGGTGAGGTCAGATCTGTCCTGGACAAGACTTTAGAAAATGAGAGTTGGCTGCTCCCAGATGTATTTTATTCCACTGATCCATCACTTCCCATAGAATTGCATCTTGGAGAAGTACTGTATTTTTCACTCTATAAGACATACTTTTTCCCTCCTAAAAAGTAAGGGGAAATGTGTGTGTGTCTTATAGAGCGAATGCAGGCTGCGCAGCTATCCCAGAAGCCAGAACAACGAGAGGGATCGCTGTGCTCCCTCTTGCTGTTCTAGCTTCTGGCTTAGCCGTGCTTTCTCTTCCCCCACCTCCTGTGTGCGGCTCTTGGGGGCTTTTCCCCGAGGAGGGAGAAGGGCAACCTGTCAGTAATGGATTGCCCTTCTCCCTCCTCAGGGAAGAGCCTGCAAACACACGCTCCATGCGGCTTGTGAAAGGGAGCGCTGAGCAGAGCCTGGGATGCATACAGTCTCTGCTCAGAGCTCCCTTTAAAGAATATTTTTTTTCTTCCATTCCCCCTCTAAAAACTAGGTGCGTCTTATGGCCAGGTGCGTCCTATGGAGCGAAAAATACGGTAACTCTTTTTCTTATGCATTCATGATGATTTGTGCTCTGGAAGGTATTGGGGCGGTGACACACAATCCGCCTTACGGGTGGTGCTGTGGTCTAAACTACTGAGCCTCTTGGGCTTGCCGATCAGAAGGTTGGTGGTTCGAATCCCTGCAATGGGATGAGCTCCCAGTGCTCTGTCCAATGCTTTTTTCTAAAAAATGTTTAGGGGTACTCTCATTTTCCTACTCGTGTTGAAATACTGCCCCTCAATGAGGCTAAACTTACATTCACAAAAAGTTTAGGAGTATTTTCTGCATCCCCCCAGAAAAAAAGCACTGGCTCTGCTCCAGCTCCTGCCAACCTAGCAGTTCGAAAGCACGCCAGTGCAAGTAGATAAATAGGTACCGCTGTGACAGGAAGGTAAACGGCGTTTCCGTGCGCTCTGGCTTCCATCACGGTGTTCCGTTGCGCCAGAAGCAGTTTAGTCATGCTGGCCACATGACCCAGAAAGCTGTCTGTGGACAAACGCCGGCTCCCTCAGCCTGAAAGCGAGATTATTGTTTGCACCTGGAAATGTTTTGTGGGTGAACATGCTGCGTCCTTTCCAATCCACGCATGGCCTGTAACTTCCTTAATAAATTTGGTAACGATTTTTAAAACTGCAAATGTTGGGGTGTGGCCGCTTTTGTTGTGTTGTAGCGCAGGAGCATCCCTTCTGGTCAGCAATAGCACAGTGACATTAGGGCAGCAGAACAGCTAGTAAATTGGGAATGATGTGTGGGCAGTCCAGTATAAATCCACCACAAATGTGGCAGGGTCCACAAATGTGGCCGCTGGGACCACATAACACCGGTCCTGAGAGATCTGCATTGGCTCCCTGTACGTTTCTGAGCACAACTCAAAGTGTTGGTGCTGACCTTTAAAGCCCTAAATGGCCTCGATCCTGTATACCTGAAAGAGCATCTCCACCCCCATCGTTCAGCCCGGACACTTGAGATCCAGCGTCGAGGGCCTTCTGGCGGTTCCCTCGCTGCGAGAAGTGAGGTTACAGGGAACCAGGCAGAGGGCCTTCTCGATAGTGGCACCCGCCCTGTGGAACACCCTCCCATCAGATGTCAAGGAAATAAGCAGCTATCCTATTTTTAAAAGACATCTGAAGGCAGCCCTGTTTAGGGAAGTTTTAAATATTTAATGCTGTACTGTTTTTAACACTCGATTGGGAGCCGCCCAGAGTGGCTGGGGAAACTCAGCCAGAAGGGTGGGGTATAAATAATATATTATTATTATTATCCCTTTCAAGCTCATCCAATCCAACTTCTGTTTCAAGTACTGTGGTACCTCGGGTTAAGAACTTAATTCGTTCCGGAGGTCCGTTCTTAACCTGAAACTGTTCTTAACCTGAATCACCACTTTAGCTAATGGGGCCTCCTGCTGCTGCTGCGCTGCCAGAGCACGATTTCTGTTCTCATCCTGAAGCAAAGTTCTTAACCCGAGGTACTATTTGTGGGTTAGCGGAGTCTGTAACCTGAAGCGTCTGTAACCCGAGGTGCCACTGTACAGGACTTCTCTTGAAGAATCCTGGGAGCTATAGTTTGTCAAGAGTGCTGGGAACTGTAGCCCTGTGAGGGGGGGCGAATTCTGGGTGTGTGGGGGGTGGGGGAGTCCTGTGCTTTAAATGCAAATACACCAGTCTGGAGGGGACATAAAAGCAGTTTTTAAAAGATGTATTTATAGAGGAGGCAGCAATGCTTCTGAACACCAGGTCCTCATTGGCCCTGTGATGGAAATCCTCGCTTCTCTTTTTTTCCAGGGGGTTTACCAGCAGGAGATGCCTGTGAATCCCCTTGAAGCTGATCAGGCTCCTTCAGAGACAGGAGAGAAGCAGCCGGGTGCCGAGGTGAAGCGGGAAGGCAACAGGGGTGGCAGCTGCATGGGTAGGTGTGCTGATAGGGCACGTTGAATTTTCCAGCTTTCAACCTCCCCCTCCCCCCAAATCAGGGGTGCTAAAAAGTTGTAACATGACTTGGGGCTTCAAAAGATATTTTGGTGGGATTAATGTAATTCAGTTTTGCTTGCTTTGCAAAATATGTGTAAAATGGCATAAAATTTACTAATCATGATTGCCAAGTACTTACGGTTTTATTATATATTATTTTTATAATTTAGTATCATTTAGCATTGCGTTATATTTTCAACCAAATTTCCTGAGATCCACGAGGAGGCTTCCATCTGTGTTTGCAGACCACCCGGTGCCATTTTGATTCAAGATGGCACCACAAACGTTTCATAACTGCACTGTTTTTAATCCATGGTTTAAGAATGGACCAGATTTTATGGGTTTGTTTGTAAGAATCCCTGAGCAGCCCTGCGTACAAGGCTACTAGCGGGAAACAGTTTGCCAAATGGACCTCTCTTAGTTCTCTGAAGGCCACCCCGTTTAGGGAAGTTTTTAATGTTTGATGTCTTATAGGGTTTTTAATATTCTGTTGGGAGCCGCCCAGAGTGGCTGGGGAAACCCAGCCAGATGAGTGGGGTATAAATAATAAATTATTATTATTATTATTATTATTATTATTATTATTTCACTCCCAGATGACAGACAGACGAGAGAAAAGGAGGATTCACAGGTGAAAATTTCAGAGCCGGTGGAGCTGCCAGACAAGGGGGAAGGAAGGCGTTTCCTACCGACAACAGAGGAAGAAGAAGAAGATGCTCCTTCGACGCAGCCTGGACCCAAGAGGAAGTTGGGAAAGGGCCCAGAGGAGAGCGTCGCTTGCGGAGAAGCCTTTGCCCACCTCGGCGAACCCACAAACCAGCCGAAACCTCCCCGAGGCAAGCGGGAGACGACCTGTGGAGTTTGCGGGAAGAGCTTCAGCCGCCGGACGGGCCTGCTGGCCCACGAGAGGGTGCACACGGGCGAGAAGCCCTACAAGTGCCCTCACTGCGGGCGCAGCTTCCGCTCCAAGTCCACCCTGGTGGTTCACCAGAGGACCCACACGGGCGAGAAGCCCTACCGGTGCCAGGCCTGCGGGAAGAGCTTCCCCGTGACCACGCAGCTCATTGAGCACGAGAGGACCCACTCGGGCGAGAAGCCCTACCAGTGCGCCGAGTGCGGGCAGAGCTTCCGCCAGCGCTCGCACCTGAAGAACCATCAGAAGATCCACACGGGCCTCAAGCCCTTCAGGTGCTCGTACTGCGGCAAGGGCTTCAGCATCAGCTCGGACCTCATCCGGCACGAGAGGGCCCACACCGGAGAGAAGCCCTACCAGTGCCCGGACTGTGGGAAGCGCTTCTGCAACAGCTCACAGGTCATCACGCACCGCCGGGTCCACACCGGGGAAAAACCCTACAAGTGCCTGGAGTGCGGGAAGGGCTTTGCCGTCAGCCAGCAACTCATCCGGCACCAGGCGGTCCACACGGGGGAAAAGCCCTACCAGTGCCTGGAGTGCGGGAAGACTTTTGGTGTCAGCACCCTCCTGGCCGGGCACTTGAGGATCCACACGGGGGAGAAGCCGTACGAGTGCTCCGAGTGCGGGAAGCGCTTCCGCCTCCGCTCAACGCTCATCACGCACCTGAAAATCCACGCGGCGAGGAAAAGTTAGGGCCGGAAGGGGAAGGTCAAGAAAGAGGGTGGGGCAGTTTGTGTAAAGAGGAATCAGTGCTAGGTAAAAAGGTTTGAATCCCAGTGAAGGGGTGAGCTCCCGCCTTTGAAAGAAAGAAAAAGGTAAAGGACCCCTGGATGGTTAAGTCCAGTCATAGAATCATAGAATCATAGAGTTGGAAGAGACCACAAGGGCCATCGAGTCCAACCCCCTGCCAAGCAGGAAACACCATCAGAGCACTCCTGACATATGGTTGTCAAGCCTCTGCTTAAAGACCTCCAAAGAAGGAGACTCCACCACACTCCTTGGCAGCAAATTCCACTGTCGAACAGCTCTTACTGTCAGGAAGTTCTTCCCAATGTTTAGGTGGAATCTTCTTTCTTGTAGTTTGGATCCATTGCTCCGTGTCCGCTTCTCTGGAGCAGCAGAAAACAACCTTTCTCCCTCCTCTATGTGACATCCTTTTATATATTTGAACATGGCTATCATATCACCCCTTAACCTCCTCTTCTCCAGGCTAAACATGCCCAGCTCCCTTAGCCGTTCCTCATAAGGCATCGTTTCCAGGCCTTTGACCATTTTGGTTGCCCTCCTCTGGACACGTTCCAGTTTGTCAGTGTCCTTCTTGAACTGTGGTGCCCGGAACTGGACACAGTACTCCAGGTGAGGTCTGACCAGAGCAGAATACAGTGGCAAAGGCGACCATGTTGGTGTTTTGCAACTTTGACCTGTTGCAGGACCTTAGCCAGACCTTAGCAGAGCATACGCAGAGTTCTTGAAAGCAGGCAGGATGGATGAAGCAGGAACCAGTAACTTGTTACTTATAAACTTGTGTTTATTATTTACAGAAGACTTCAAGTTACTATAGTTACTATAGTGGTACCTCGGGTTACATACGCTTCAGGTTACAGATGCTTCAGGTTACAGACTCTGCTAGCCCAGAAATAGTTAAACCACAGGGAATTGTAACTCTCTGAGGGGGACCAAGGGTTTATTAACAACTCATCAGTATCCTTAAAAGAACCACAGCTCCCAGAACTGCTTGAAGCCAGGATTGCTTGAAGTGCTATCGTAGCACTTTAAATGTATAGGGTGCGTGTGGCTGCTGACCCACCAAAATGTCGAAAGCGCTTCTCGTACAGGACCCTAGTTTGCACATCGCACAAAGCCAAGCCACACAGGCTCCCAGGGACGCTTCACTCCTCGCCCAATAATTTGCAGCTGTGCTGAGCTAAGCTTGGCTTGGCGTGTCCCCCAAACCAGGGGTCATGGTTGAACTAGCCATGGTTCAGACTAACCATGATTTGGCCTGTGGTTTATGGCTTGTAGTTAGGAAAAGCTAGACCCACAAGCCCAGGTTGGGATGGAGTACTAAGCTAAGCTACGGCTTACAATCATCGAACCTAAGGGTCCTCTAGTCCAGCCCCTGTAATGCAGGAATCTCAACATCCATGGCAGACGGCCATCCAACCTCTGCTTGAAAACCTAAGTTCAGTCTAGAACAGCAGCCAAGCAAACAGGATAAGGAAAGTGGCTGCAATCTCCTCTCCCAGAGTCCACACATTCAAGCTAATCCAGTGTTTCCCCAACTTGAGTCAGCTGTTTTGGGACTACAATTCCCATCATCCCCGACCGCCGGTCCTGCTAGCTAGGGATGATGGGAGTTGCAGTCCCAAAACAGCTGGAGACCCAAGTTGGGGAAACGCAGAGCTAAGTCATGGCTTGGCTTAGCATGACACGTGAACCAGACTATCTTAACAACAATCCTGTAAGGTAGGTCAGCACAAAACCCATAACGGAAAGACGAGATAGATTGGCTGCGGCAGGGGCAGCTTAAGAGTACCACAGGTGGGCGCACATTTAGATCCTTCTGAACTACAACTCCCATCAGCCCCAGCAAGCATTGGGGTGTTGGGAGTTGTAGTTCAGCAACATCTAAGCATGTGGTTTGAACCTTACCCGTAGTGCGGCTTCTTAGCGTTGTGCTCTGACTTTTGAGGAAGGCTGAAAGAGGGTTTGTGCGAGGAGATACTTTGAAGAGCGACGGAGTAAGGAACAGGACAATATTGCTTGGAAGGTGGTTACGGGGCAAAGGGTGTTTGTATGGATATTCGGCACGTTAACATTTGACCCGTAGTGGAAATGTGAAAAACCACCAAGGAGGTGACTTGTAGGCAAATTGAGCCCAAGAGGGGCATCCAGTAAACCTTTCCTTCCAAATAAATAAGTTCCAAACTTCCTGTCTCGTGTTTTCTGTCTGGGTGGTGTGCTTCAGGGGCTGGTGGCAACCTTTTTCATGTCAAGGCCCACCCAAAAGGACCTGGTGTTGGGCGAAGCCAAAAGCGAGGGGCCGTTTCCCCCCCTCCTGCTGCCACCACCTTTTCTCTCTCCCTTTCTTTGACAGTCATGAGGATGTGTAGGGAAATAGCTTCTGATGAGGCTTTATCATTATTATCATTATTATTATCATCATCATCATCATCATTAATTAATTAATTAATTAATTACAGTGGTGCCTCGCAAGATGAAATTAATCCGTTCCGCGAGTCTCTTCGTCTTGCGGTTTTTTCGTCTTGCGAAGCACGGCTATTAGCGGCTTAGCAGCTATTAGCGGCTTAGCGGCTTTAAGAAAAAGGAAACAAACTCGCAAGAACTCGCAAGACGTTTCGTCTTGCGAAGCAAGCCCATAGGGAAATTCGTCTTGCGGAACGACTCAAAAAACGGAAAACTCTTTCGTCTAGCGAGTTTTTCGTCTTGCGAGGCATTCGTCTTGCGGGGCACCACTGTATTAACAATTTATTACCTGCCTTTCACACCGCAGCCCTAGGGAGGGTTGCAGCCATTAAAATGCAATATCAAAAACAATTCAAAACAAGTTACGAAAATAAGACGGGTCTTTAAAATATACAGGCGCCAAAAGCCAGGGCAAAAAGGTGTGTCTTCAGCATTCACCAAAATTAGGTCTGGAGTCTAGAAGGATCATTGACACAGATAGTGGGAGGACAAACATTTGGCCCTCCAGCAGTTGCTGAACTACATCTCCCATCAGCCCTTGGTCATGCTGGCTGCGGCCAATGGGAACTGTAGTTCAGCAGCATCTGGAGGACCAAAAGTTCCCTACACCTGATTTCTGCTGCTCCTTTATTGATGGTCCAAGGTTTTACACATCTGAGGGGAGCTAAGGGTGGAAAAGCCATGTTCTTGAGGTGGGTGGGTCCAGAATTGAAAGTGGGTGCGTTGCCGTCAAAGGGGTGGGTAGGGTGCTGGTGGATAAGCCCCCTTTCTCCTTTGTCTTTACCTTATCTCCCCCTCCTTCTCACCAACATGAAACAAAGCTGAGGGCCACATGAAATTGGACTGAGGGCCACTTGATTATTATTTGTTTAATGGATCTCTTCCCACAAGGCGTTCCTGATTAAACATGCCACAAAAACATATACAAAATGATTGTGTATATAAAAACAGCTTTAAAATTGCATATCTGGATGCAATTAAAAGCCAATTACATATATTTGGAAACAGCAAGACATAGGCAGAGTCAAGTCAAATCCAGTCCAGATACAAACTGGAATTTCAAAGCAATGCAGTCACCTGTTGTGCCATCTTACCTTGTGACAAATGCCTGATGTTTTGAGGAGGCACCCTGACAAAGGGACTGCCCAAAGCAGAAGGGGTACGACCCCCAACACACCAGAGTGAGCTCTCTCATGGGCAGCATCGAGGGGATGCTGTTGCAACGGTATTGTTCAATAAAGATCAGGCCTACTGGCTGCTCAAGGATTCCCGGAGGTCCATGCAGGTCTTTGGATTGCAGGGAGAATTTGCACTGGCTAAAATTCCCCCTGGTATTTTTCCGTTATCAGTGCTGAGGGTTGTTATGCGGCACCCCTGTTCCCTTCCGAGAGCTACGATTCCCTGGGAAGAGGCCAAGACTCCCAGTGATCAATCAAACCTGCGCCTGGTTTACCTCAGCGCGGAGCGGGGACGTCTCTGCCAATCAAACACTGCTGAGGTAAACCAGGTGTTTGAGTGGCAGAGACGTCCATTCGGCCTCTTCATTCCGTCGCCATCACCAGGAGTCTTGGCTTCATGGCGGGTTCCGGCTTTGCGACGTGGGTTGGATTTATGAGCCAGGGGGGGCACATCCAGCCCCCGGGCCTTAGTTTGCCGACAAAGGACAATAGTCCCACATCACGGAACACAGTAGTACAAAACATCCTGTCTCCGTCACTTTCCACACTGTGGAATGAAAACATACACCGTCATGTGATAGACAACAATCCCATGATTGCAAACATGGAGCAAGAATCCTAACAGGCTACCCATCTCTAGGAAGGTTAGAGACTGTTCAATAGGGAGCCCATCATCTGGTGAGACATACCTTACAATAACAGTGAGCTGATCAACATGGAACAGGACGGATAAACTGAAGTACTCTGCAGTTTTTAAATCCTCTAAAATTGATCCTCTTACTTTAAATGCCATCATTTGGATAAATTCATCACATATTGTTTTAGAAAGGTAGGATGTGACACCTGAGCCTCCATTTCCAAATTCTTTTATATGGTTTGCTAGAAAAGGATCAAATTTTGCAATAAGTTCAAGTTGTTGTTTAGTCGTTTAGTCGTGTCCGACTCTTCGTGACCCCATGGACCAGAGCACGCCAGGCACTCCTGTCTTCCACTGCCTCCCACAGTTTGGTCACACTCATGTTGGTAGCTTCGAGAACCAAATCTTTCCTCATCTCCTCTGAAGGTAAACCATGCTCTGCCAGAGTTATGATGCCTGCAACAACTCATTCAAGAACATGTTTCCAGTGCTGCCGTTCATTATGTATCTGTTCTGCTAGTTGACAGTCAATTGTTGAGCCACGTTTTCTTCTTGTAAGATATGCTACTGAAACTGTTCTATGGTTTTCAGAGTTTTCATGACTTGGAACTAAATAGGTGTTGCGCCAATCAGAAAATCCATCTGATGATAATGGTGTGGAAGAATCTGAA